TGTAGCGTCAGTTCCCAAGTTGGCTGCAGACCGTTCGCTGGCAAGCGCGCGCTTGCCCATGGCCGTGGCAATGTTATTCCGAAGCGAATCCGACGAGGCAGCCACTGCAGACTCCTTGACCGTCACTTCTTGCTCGAATTCTGTGAGCTCTACAACTTCTGCAGAACTTTCCACGGTGATGGTGACAGGCTCGTTGTCACTCTCGTCCTGGTTCATGATCATCCAAACGCTGATGCAGAGATGCAGATCCGTTCGCTTCAGCTTTTCAGACTGGGCCTTGACGGGTTCGCACGGGTGCATTTGCACGACGAATGTGGCAATAAGGCGTTTTGCAATGATGCGTTCCGTGGGGTGCAGTGGCTCCTTAGTGTGCTCTTCCATCTGAAAGAAGCGCTTGGCCCTATACAGGTTGCATGCAACTGCGAGCACCTGCGTGTCGAAACCAGTTTTCTGCGAACGAATCCACAACGAGGCTAAGCCAATATGAACATAACAACTATGCGTATCTTACAACACCGTTGACGTGTGCAACCTCCTACTTCGGCAGCTAGCTGATCCAGCGCGTATGTTCAAATATCAGCCAGCGTTGATTCCAAATAGGTAGGCGGAAAATGAGGAGGACGAGAGGAGGATGGGAGGAGGACGGGAGCAGGACGGGAGGAGGACGGGAGAAGCAAAGTCAAGCAAGCGGAAGCAATAACAAGCAAACAAGAGCCAACGATCAAGTACAAGCAAGCAGGGCCAAGCAAGAGCAAGCAAGCAAGAGCAAGCAAGCAAGCAAGCAAGCAAGCAAGAGCAAGCAGGCGAGGGCCAGCGATAGGCATAGGCACAAGCGTAGGCATAGGAATTAGGGGGAGGCCATAGGAATTAGGCGGGGCATACGAATCAGGAGGGAGGAGGCAACGGACCAATTAGTAAGATTTGAGTTAGAACTTCCATAGGAGAAGCCTATTTGGAGAGTAAGCTCCGTGACTGAGACACTTTGTTGGAGGCATCGGCCTTTGAGTTGACGCGCACTGTCTCAGCATGCTCTTCACTCAAGGCAGAGAAACGCAAAGCCCGATGCCCCTGACCTGAACGTGGGAGTCTGGCTTGCATTCAGAGGTCGAACAAGTGACGATGCCTAGTAGGACCAACGGGAACTGGCCATGGAGCCAAATGCATCTCAAAAGTTGTGCAATGACAATGAGTTGCTGATTTGAGCAGGCGAGGCAATTCCTCGGGTGGAACACTCCAAACGTCTGAGGAGCGTTGACTCTGAAGGACCTGCAAACCTTCCTCAACCGTTGCCAAAGGAACGTCCATCTTGTTTTCAACCACTGCTCCCCAGGGGGCACGAGGAGAGGAAGAGCCCTTCCACAGTGTCTCCAGCTCTCCGCCTCCGCCAGCAGGACATTGGTTGGCTGCCCTGGCCGCTGGCCGCTGCGCATCAGCACATCCCTTGGACTCCAAACGTTCTTCCATGTAGTCCACTTGTGCACCCAGCCTAGACTGTCGCTTCCCTGACTGCAAACCCATTCCTTCCAGGCCTGGACCGTACCTCGAATGTCGCTCGCACGCTCGGCCTGCAAGGCTGGCCCGATGTCTCCAAGAAGGCTATCCAGAGCGCTGGCCAAGGCCCCGCGGTGCACAGTCTGCTGCACAAGGTCCTGGAGAGTGGCTGCCGAGATCAGCCGAGCACGGCCGCAGATCTGGAGGAAGGTCGCAGCCGACCGGAACTTTGCTGGACAAGAGTCTAGACTCAAGTCGGGCGTGTCCTTCTACAGGAGGAATATGCAAGCATGGTCAAACAATAGTCTAGGGACGATGTTTTGACTCTTCTTGCAAATGTTTTGGGTATGGTTTGACTCTGTTTACTTTTTCATCCGAAATCCGCCTGTAGGAGGACATGCCCGACCTGAGTCTGGATCTCCTAGTGCGCTTTCAAGTTTACCAGCCTGGTTCAGATTAGCTCCTGCCGCTTGGGCCCACTTGTTGACCCACCTCAGAGATGCCGAGTCTGTTTCCCATGGGAGTCGCAAGGACTTGCAAGGCAGACTGAGAAGGACATGAACAATTCTTGCATTCTCTCCTCGCTGCAAGGTCTTCTTCAAGGGGGTACTTGTAATGAGGGCGATCGCGTGCTTCATTTAACTGGAACTACTGCCATGAAATTACATCCAAGGCTGTTTGTCTTCAAGCAAAGCTGGAACTGTCTCCTTCTCCTCCTCACTCCCCGAGATGATGCAGTCAGGAACTTTAACTTCCAAGGCACAGACCTGTGAGGATTCTGACGCTCCTCTGGTACGAAACTGGCTCCTACGTTGACCCCAGCACGCATCAAGATAGCGACACCGCCAGACGGCGCGCCAGACTCATGAGCATCAGCCCGAGCAAAGACTCCCAGGAGACCTTGCGTCACACCATTCCTTTGCCGACTGGATCGTTTCTGCGCATCTTCCAGGTGGGTGTCTTGCAGGGCCAGAATTGACGCCTCAGGGAACCGAGAATGACCAGACGCATGGTCTAAATTGGACTTGGGAATCGAAACGAATTGGTACTCTGCATGGGTTGTTTATCAAGAGGGGGGGGCATTACCTTCTGACCGGGCCTGCCCAATCCCGCCCCCCTGCGTCCTCCTCTCCCCCTCCTGATCTTCCTCCTCTTCCTCCCCCCCCCTGATCCTCCTCCTTCTCTTCCTCCTCCCCCCCTGATCCTCCTCCTTCTCTTCCTCCTCCTCCTCCTGCTCCTCCTCCTCCTTCTGCTCCTCCTCCTCTCCTCCTCCTCCTCCCTCCTCCTCCTCCTCCTCCTCCTCCTCCTCCTCCTCCTCCTCCTCCTCCTCCTCCTCCTCCTCCTCCTGATCCTCCTCCTCTTCCTCCATCCCCCTCTCCGCGCCAATTCCGACAGCACGTGCCCACCCCCCCCAGCGGATCCAAGGGGGGGGGGGGATGACTGCCCCCTCCAGAGTGTTGAGAGCTGTCACTCGCGAGGCCCAGCCTCGGCGTGCCGTCTGTCGGGCAGAAGAGGCCGTGGCTCCCCCCCGCCCCCTGCTCCCGCAGCGACCTCCCCTCCCCCCGGGGTGGTGGCGGGGGCTGTGGCGGCTGCTCGGCGGCGGGGGGCTGCCCCCCCCCCCTGCTTCGAACTTCCCGAGGCTCCTGCTCGTAGCACTGCCAGACGCACCGCTCGTAGCACCTGTTGGCTTCGAGGCGGACTGAAGTCTTTGCTCTCCTTCCCTCGGCTTTTTCGGGGCGTCGATGCCTGGGGCCGCGGCTCTTAGGGCTTCCATGTGTTGTTTAAGCTTATCGACGTCCGAAGCTTCTCTTCTGTCGCTCGTGAAGTTCGCCCTCACTCCTGACATCCCCTGACGTGGGTCTGCTTGACTGTCCTCTCCGTCCTGTTCCTACCCTTTTGTCATCATCGTCACCTACAGCATCATCTGGGACAGTTTCATGCTCTCTCGACTCCCGGAACATCCTGTTCTTATTTGTGATGGCGTTCTCCACATTCGGGGGTGGTGGTTTCATAGCACCAATTAGGTCCACCTGGGGCTGGGCCGGACCTCGCGCATGCTTCCTTGGAAGAAGTAAATCAACAGCTGATTTCAAAGCCGCATATTTGCCTTCAAGAGCTTGACACCGTACGGGGACAACTAGTTGAACCCACACTTCAAGACCCCTTTGAGACCCGCAGACCATTGCGCGACACCTGCATCCTCAGTGCTCTGGACCTGGGCCGTGACTGCAAGCTGGCCGTTCAAGCTCTCCAACTCTGTTTTGGATCCTATGATATGTTCTGAAGCCTTGGCATACTTAGTCGCCATACTAGCGGCCTGCAACTCCAAGCTGACTATCATGTCAATGGCATTCTGCGGGAGAAATCTTTGGTGTCGGATCTGATTCGTGAGATTTTGGGCCTTCTGGGCGGGGGTGTGGGTCTGGAAGACTTCCTCTTTGGCAGCTTTCACAGCTTCCTGGGCTTCAACAAGACGCTTGTCTCCAGGTGCAACTCCCCACCCCTTAAAGAACTTCACGAGAGTCTGGGCCATCAACAGGTCATTGGTAGTGGCATCTGCTTGCTGAGGCGGCGAGACAGGGATGTAGTTGCGAGACCAAAGGGGTGCACCACCTCCGCTCCCTTCAACTGCACCTGCTCCTGCTCCACCTCCTCTTCCTCCACTGCCATTTCCAAGCCCACCCTGATCCTTAACGTCCTTGACCTTACCCTCCTCGCTCTTCGGCTGGGAGCCCCAGCCCGTAAGGGTTGGGAGGGCGGAGGGTTATGATAACCTACTTTAGCCTTGATCACGAAAGAATTTCGAGCCCCTCAAACAAGTACCGAAACTCAGCGGTTTTCACGCAGCGGGCCCTGAGAGACACTCGTCCGACACTGTTTCGACACTTTTCTGGGCGCTCGAAATTATTTCTGGGATGTGGTCCTTAAGTTCGACGGGGGCAACATAAGCGGAGGGAAGGGCTGAGAGGGGTGGGAACGTTGCGGGGGGAGCGGGGAGAGAGGGCTGGGGGGTGGAGGGCATGAAGGAGCGCAGGATGCAGGGAGGGAGGAGGGAGGGGGGGGAGGGAGGCTCGCGTCGCGGCGAGGACGCGGCGAGGGCTTCTGTTGCAAGTTTTAGCCTCTGCGGGCCCTCGCTAAGCCCTGGGGCCGTCAATCGTCAAGCAGCGACCCGGGATGAAAAAACGGCACTGGGGAATGGAGCGAGATTTCCAGGGGTCCGCGTTGCGAAATAACATGGCGTCGGGGGGCCGACGCCGACGCCGACGATGCCGTCGACGCCGACGACAACGCCGACGCCGACGCTGACGCCGACGCTGACGCCGACGCCGACGCCGACGCCGACGCCGACGCCGACGCCGACGCCGACGCCGACGCCGACGCCGACGACGACGACGACGACGACGACGACGACGGCGGCGGCGGCGGTGGCGGCGGCGGCGGCGACAACGACGACGACGAGGATGAGAGCGCGTGGCGGTTGGTGTTGCCGCGGCCCATGACGCCCCGAGGCGGCACCCCGCGAGGATACCCCCCGCCGACGCGGGACGCCCTCTGCTTCCCATCTTGGCGGGGGCCGGCCTGGGGCAGGCGACGAGGAGGGGGAGGAAGAGGGGGGGAAGAGAAGGAAGAGGAAGAGGAGGAGGAGGAGGAGGAGGAAGAGGGGGAGGAGGAGGAGGAGGAGGAGGAGGAGGAGGAGGAGGAGGAGAGGGGAGGAGGAGGAGGAGGAGGAGGAGGTTCTAATTCTAATTCTATCTACGGCGGGGGTCCTGCTCAAGGCAGGCCGCTTCTTCACATTCACGCCAAATCAGGGAAAGAGGTGCCCGACTTTGGTGGCACCCCCCTGAACAGGCGCGACAGCACCTCGCGCCCGGCCTTCGAGGGCATGGCCCTCGGGCTGGGTCCCCGCACTCTCGATTCAGGATGCGGGGAGGAGCAACTGTGCAAAATCCTCCACAGACAGTGCAAAACAGAACACCTCGCTGCGCCGCCAGTCGGTGGGAGGGGTGACAGCGGTCGGCCAAGGGGTGATCCAGGGCTTCCCCACACAAGCCCGACGGCCCCAGGGCAGCAGGGGCGGGGTCCACGCCCGTGTCACCCCTCGCCTCCCGCGGCGCAAGCAGCTGGACTCGCTGCTGGATGATACACCGAGGCTTACACGGCGTGGGCCAGAAGCACGCCAGCTGGCCTCTCAGGCTAAAATTCAGTCCACACTGCTTGCACTCGATGCATGCTTTCTGCACAGCGGGCTCGTGGCCCGCATCTCTCAACCTGCAAATCCGTTCGGAAAGAAAGGAGACTACTCCGCGAGTTCGCCGCGGCCCACGGAGTCCACTCTTCTCACGCTCCGAGGAAAACAAAACTTCACGCTGCACGGCCAGGATCCTGGTTAAAATTTGCACGGCAAGCTCATCAGCCCGCACAATCAGGGAAACGTGATCCTCACTTAACTGGGCCTTCTCAGCAGCCCAATCAGCAATGCGGTCCGCAGCCTGGTTTAAATACACTTCTACATCAGGTAAAAACATGTTATCGGCCTGGGCTTGGGTGGGGTGTCCTTTGGCCCAGATCAGTCGGAGCGAACCCTGACCTTCGGAAAGCACATCATGAAATTCAGCCCACAAGTCCAGCATACTAGATTTCCTCTTCGACCGCAAACTTTTTTCTGGCGCCCTTCGCGACCAACAGGCAGTCACAATAAACTCGAACGTCACCGACACTAGCTCGCATCAGCTCGATCAGAGCATAGCGCTCGGCCCCCGGAGAAGACTGAAGCGCGCGCGGCACAGATCCACACCGCGCAGCATCTATCCTGCCGTCGGGGCCAAGGTGCACGAAGGACCATCCACATCGCATTAACCTCCAATCCTTCGAGTATTTGCCTCCAGAACCATCAACACCCCAGACGCCCCCACGTATGAGCTCCCCCTTAACGCACCTTCCCCGACCCCAAACGAACCGCGGAGGAAGGGGAAGGAGCCCTAAGGAGTCGCCCAGAGACGGGCGCCCACGACACCAACAACTCACCTTATGATTTTCGGCGATGGCCCTGGGAGCCAGGAAGTCAGTATTTTTCAATCGTGTGGTCAGGGATAGCACGATTGCACACGCACTGCCAGTGTCGATGCAACGGGGACTCAGGAGCTTCTCCGCATCTCCCACAGAGCCCATTACTAGCAGAAGCGTAACCAGCAGCGTGCAATCGCTCTCCAGGCCAAAAAGCGGCAATGAGCACATTGCACAACATGCCAGCTGACTCGTGCTCGCCGTCACGAGCAAGCCTGGCCAAACAGCGCCGCACAGGGGTAAAATCAACTCCTCTTTCCAGGCCTGTACCACAGAAGTGCTTCGAAGCCTGACCCCAGGACTCAGCAGAACACGTCTTCGAAAGCGCACCCCAAAGCTGGAAAGGGAAAGCACCATCCTTCAACCTTAAAACCGAATCCTCAGCACGCCAGAACCCTGGTGACTCAGCCTGCCAGCCTAGATCACGAAGCGCAGCTATCGTGGCCGCCATCGGCCCTCGAACAACCTGCCAACGGTACTTGATCTGACCCATCTTAGTACATATCCTAATCCAAACCTCAGCGCATAACCTGCGAGATTTATGACCAAGGTCAGCCCAAGCCAAGGCCCATCCATTGAGCTGTTCATAGCGAAGCCTAAACTGGGGGTCATCCTTCGCAGCCCCCAAGAAGCCAAGCAAAGTGGCGGTGCAAGCCCCAGGGGCCCACAACCCAGAGCACGTGGCAGCCTGAGCGCGCATCGACTTCACCTGCCCAGGAGAAAGCCCCGGGACCTCATGGCCCCACGACCCCGCTGCCAGGACCCCAGGCTTATGCAGCTTGCTAGCTCGACCAACAAGCCGAGCAAGAACACTCACCATTTGGCTCTTGCGGTAAGCAGTAGCACGCCGCCGTCGCAACTTACTCATGTTACGGCGGAGACCTGCAGAAGACATGACCCCCAGATCTCGGACCGAGTCTTTCCACTGAATTGGTGGGTTGACCGAAGCAAACATCTGCGTGATCTCGGCTCCGAGCTCTGTGCGGGAGACCAACAACGTACTTTTGTCAGCAATAACGGTGCCAGCAGCCTCCAGCTCGCGGCACAAGTGCAAAGCGGCCGGCACGAATGCGGCAAGAACTTCCTCACGGGATCCCTGCTGCGTCTGAGTGATATCGTCCACGTATCCCTTGACGCGGACTGGCAAGAAGGAGGCGTGCGCCTGGTCCAGTATATCATACAAGTAAATCTTAATCCACGGCATGGATTGGCCACAACCAGGCAAGATGCCCATGCCCGTGGGTATGAGGTCAGAACAAAAACCCTGGACCTCGACGATACGCGGAGCTTCATGCATCACTACCCCCAAATACAGGAGGAACAGAGGATAACAAATTTTCACGGCGAGTCCAGCAAGGCGACAAGGGTCGACAGCGTCAAAGAACTTCTTAAGGCCCCAATAAGCTCCGACCGAGCACAACCCCAGATATCTGGTCATCTCATGGCCTAGCTCTCGGTTAAGCGCAGCCTGCAGCGCCGAAGACCCTCGGATCGCAGTGTCCCAATGGTTGACCTGGGCCAGAGGCCAATCTTCAATATGGCCTCCACGAGCCTTGCAATACACGCGGTACAGGGAGGGACACTTGCACACAGGTCTTTCGCTCTCAGCCGACGTAAGCAGCAACGCTATGATGCCCGACAAAATCTGCGTCGGCCACATGAGCCGATTCGCACAACTATTAAGGAGGTGGGCGTACGACTTCACTGCATCAGGCGGCGAGTGTCCTCGTGGAAAAGACGAGCAGCTCTCTGAATATCTCCTGGTTCCAGAGGTTCAAGATCCTCCAAGGACCCCAGGGCCAAAGGCCGGAGGGCATCCAAGACCCCAGACAGCTGCTCGCGTTTGCCCCCTTCGGCCTTCCAGAATTTACCCCAAAAGTCCTCGCGGTATCTCATCATCTCATCAGGGAGCTGATGCGCGTCAGCTGGTGCTACTACAACTTCGAGGTCGGCACCTCGGTCGCGCCGCAGCCACGAGTGGACTCGCTTCGCTCCCCGAGGCAGCGCCTTCAAAGAGCCACTGCTTCATGCCAGCCTTAGTCTCCGCACGCGCAGCGCTCCACGCCTTAGTCAGAGTAGCGCTAATCGCATCGGACAGCAAATTAAGATCGTCCAGACCCTGGGGCAGGCTAGACAAGTGAGCCCGCCACCATTCAGGGGCCCGCGCATATCCTGCTACATGAAACTCAGCCACCCGAGGAGCAAGGCCAGCTAGGATACCCCTCAGGATAGCACACGACGTCCAAGAACGTTTTGCACTAGTAATTCGATACCCCCAGAACTTCTGAGAAACATGGGCCCAGAGACAGGGCGAAGGTTGCCGAAAGCTTTCTCCACAAACACCCCGTCGCCCAACTTTCCCGAACTGGAAAATAGGGCGCGCACCTCTGGATCCTTCAGGAGGGGCAAGCTCGCGCGCCGAGGCCCTGGTCAAATACATATTCGCAGTGGCCTTGCTCCAGAGTGAGTACTACAACGAGAGGTCAGACGACGCATTCTCAGCGACATGCGGCAACAACTTCTCAGCCAAAAACTGAAGGGGAAGGATATCATGCTCTGCCACCTGCTCTAGATACTGAGTCCAAGGTAGGTCGGGTCCAAAGCGTGGCGGGAAAGAAGGTGCACGCTGACGCCGCCACAGCTCCTGCTCGACCACTGTGCGCGTCAAAGACACCGCAAGGCAGGCGCGGGTCTTGAAAGGGGAGGGGTCATATTTAGCCACGCGCAAATAATCAGCGATATCTACAGAGGCCACCACGTAATCAAAAAGTGATCCCCTCCACTGGGCACAGGTAAATTCAACTCCTTCAGGTTTGATGGCACGAGTATGGCGCAATTTAGGGAAACCGCCCAAGTCAAGGCCCGTAACCGGGATGTTAAAGTCGCCCATGAGGATCCAAGGGATAGTTGATGCGCCCACGAGCCCAGAGATCTCACGCAACCGATCAATATTCACCCCACTTACACCCAGGCCATCATCTAAGTAACACACTCCTACAGCAAGAACAGCTTGCTTGGTTTTAAGCTGCAAAAACTGCCAGTGGCTTCCAGAGCCCTGGTCCAGGAGGGACGAATCCGAAGCAAGGAAACGCCTGAAACAAAGACCTCTACTCACTACGGCCCCTACTCCCCCACGGTGCAGGCCCCCATCCAGGGGAGCGGGTGGCAAGGGTGAAGCGGGGCCTCCACCTCATCTGATTACACTTCCGTTTAGCAAGACTACAGGCATCGGTGGGCATTCGATGCTCGCCAAAAAAAATCCATCACAAATCGGCTTCACTTCCTGGGCGAAAGACAATGAAACCGCATTCCAACTCGTGATATTGCAGAACAGGAAATCGACTGTATTTGGCGCTAGCTGCAGGCGGTGGCGGCTCAGGGGCCTGCTAGGCCTCGCGCCGCCTCCAGCGCCTCGACCTTCACCTCGATCAGGGCTAGGAAGAAGACACTCGTTCGCCTGCAGCGCCAGCTCCTGGTCCTCCCGCAGCTGCGGGCCCACGATC